TTTGTGTTGGTGCATTATTCATATGTATAAAACAGAGATAGTTGTTTACATAGGCAAAAAGTCTTTTAGGGTCCAAAATATATTTAGATATTGCCAAATGAATTATCACAATTAACTTACAATAACGTAATAAGACGGTCCATCATTATTAATATCGGTCCTTTGCAGTACCATCTCCCCAGCAAAATGTCTATCTAAATTATATAATAACTCAAGAAAGACCAGCTTAAATATCTCCAGGCTGCAAGTTGAAATAATTAACTATAAATCCAGTACTGATGCTAGTACAAGTGTTTAAGATATGTATTTCTGGCATTTATTAATGATTTCTCTAAGCCCATTCCTTTGGCTGTAGCTTTGCTAGATAGTAGATAATGACAGTGGGAATCTCTAATCCTTTCAGTGCATTACTGATTGGATGACAAGTTTAGTTACCTTAAGAGAGTCATAGCAAGCCTATCAAATGCTATTACTGCGTGATAAAGAAAGAACTGCTAGAAATTGTATTTCTTTAGCAATTTCACTATTGTTTTTATGGCTGAGAATTTACTGCTCTAGTAGATAACATATTATTGATGAACTATAATACAACTTGAAGGTATGATTGGATGGTGGATCAGAATGTTGCAGGAGTACAGTTTCACCTTAGAACACTGACTTGGCCAATGGGATGGAATGCAGACAGGTGAGAACTTGTCTGTTTGCTGAATGTTTTGATCCTCAACATAATATTATGCTGTTGTGAAACCTAAAGTCTTAACCTTGATACAAAATTTACAAATAGTGAAGATTCTGCTGGTAAATGGACAACAAATGTGACTGAAGAAAAGCTGCAAGAAGAACATCCAAAAGACCTGTGTGTTACTTGCTTTGTAGAAAAGAGAAGCACAATCATCACATATTGAAGAATCAGTATGGAAGCACACATCTTCTGGAAATTGTATGATCAGTTGGAGGTAGAGAAGTGGAGCTGTAATGCCACTACAGCCGAGCAAGTAAGATGGTTGATCTGTGATGCAGCTGTAGAT